TTCATATGAAGCCACTAGCACTCTTCTTTTTTCTCTCTATAGTCAGTGGAGCCAGAGGAAAATACCATATCAAATCCAAGATGCCACTGTGTTGGTCAGCTTTTCATCATGGCCCAAATACCTGAGAACAACTTGAAGGAGGAAGTGTTCAGTTTGGCTTATGGTTTCTGGGGTTTTGGTTTGTGGTGGGCTAGCTCCATTGCTTTTAGGCCTGGTGGCAGGGGATGGCAGAGGAAAACTGCTCACCTCATGGCAGCCAGGAAGCAGACAGAGGGAAAGAGCCCAGGACCAGGTATAGTCACATCCCATGACCCTCTCTCTTCCTCTCTACTTCCTAAGTTTCCATCACTTCCCAGTAATGCCATCAAATTATGATCTTATTTATTTATTTTTTGGTACTGGGGATTGAACTCAGGACCTTGCACTTGCCAGGCAGGTGAGGCATCACTGAGCTACATCCCCAGCCCAATTTATGATCTCATAATGGATTAATTCATTGATGAAGTCAGAGCCCCATGATTCAATCACTTTCCCAAACCCCATCTCTGAACACATGAGATGTTTGGGGGATATTTTAGACATAAGCCATAACACATTTATTGTAAAATAAATGACAAAGAAAATCATCTGTACTCACCATAAGCAATTTATAAGCATCAACTCAGGAATTAAACTAAAAAAGTAGAAAATGTGAAGACACTTAAACAAGATGTGAGCCCAGACTTCCAGCTCATCAAAGGCAAACCTAGGGGGCAATGAGGTGGAACAATCTGAAAGCCACCCACATGGACTCTCAGAAGTGGTAAAGCAGAAGTAACAAAGCAGATGAACAAGGCTCTAAAAAAAAATCAAATCAGAAATAATTTCTGAGATAACTACTAAGATGGTGACCATAATGAAAGACATGGTTAGCAACTCTAGAGCAGATACAGACGGAAAAAAAAATAGTGGAGCTTAGGAAAATGATGAAAACCATGAATGCCCAACATAGGAAAGAAATGGAATCCATGAAACAGATTCAAACATATATCCAAGAGATCAAAATTCCATTGAAAGTATATGCAGCAGAATGACCCAATGTGAAGACAGAATATCAGATACAGAAGACTGGATTGCGGTTAATGAGCATGAAAAGAAAGATCTCTTAAAAATAGCAAAGGATCAAAAGAATAACATAAGATTGATTGGAATCAATGAAAAAGCAGGACACAGTACAAATAACATGAAAAATCCGCTCAAAGAAGTAATGGCAGAAAACTTCCCAAACAGGGAAAAAGAATTTGACATACAGATAAGTGAGACATATAGAGCTCCAATTAGCCATGATAAAAAAAAAAATCTACACCAAGGCATATAATAGTCAAGATTCCAGAAATTCAACACAAGAACAGAATATTAAAAGCTGTTAGAGAAACAAATCACCTATAAAGGAAAGCCCATCAGAATCATAGCAGACTTCTCAACACAAACCCTTAAGTCAAAGAGAGCTTGGAGTGAAGTATTTCAAGCCCTAAAAGAAGACAACCTCCAATCCAGATTGATGTAACCTGTAAAACTATCTTTCAAAATTGATGGAGAAAAAGAAAAAAAATCAATCAACAAATAAGATACTTCCATGACAAAGAACACCTTAGGAAATTCTTGACCACCAAACCAGCACTCCAAAATGCTCTGAAGGGCATTCTAGAAAGAGATAACAAGGACCACAATTCCATGAACCCTAAAAGAATGAATCCATCAGGCAAGGCAAGGAATTAAACAGAGGGGGGAAAACGGCGAACCAATGACAGGAAAATAACATGACAAGGATAAGTCAATATATATCAGTTATAACCACCAATGTTGAGACCATAAATGGTTTCAATTTACCAATCAAAAGAGACAGACTGGCAGAATGGAACAAGAAGCAAGATCCAACAATATGCTGAATACAAGAAACATATTTAATTAAAAAACAAATTCATAGACTGAAAGGATGGAAAACAATATTCCATGCTACAGGAGCACTGCCAGAGATGTGAATATGCCACTGTGGATAGGAATGGGCCTCCCTTCCTGTCTCTGTCTGAAGTCCAGGGCAAATTTGCCCTGTCCCTTCTCTTTATTTATGTCCTGAGAGAGTAGAAACAGTCACTGGAATCATGAAATAAGCAGCCAAGCTGTAGCCTGGCCTTGAGAACCCCTAGGATGGAAGGTGCCACCCCAACCACACAGCACATGCACCCTCAGTCTGCTCACAGTTCTTCTATCTCTCCCAAAGTACAGACATGGTGGTGTGGTCCATTCTGCCTGACCAGCTGGGTCTGTCCACTTCCATGAACACAGCTGGAAGCTCAAGGCCACATGGCCACACAGTCCAGCTCCTCCTCAGGCCAGGTGGAGCTGTCTACACAGGAGTTCTCCCAGGGTTGTGACAATCTAATCCTCAAGACTAACTAGGCACACTGCCTGGTTTACTTTTTAATATATAACTGTTTCTAAATTCCTGTGCCCCTGGAGCTAACACCCCAAAATCAATGACTGTTTCATTGCAGTGTTTGATACTGGCTCTTACATCTTTGGCTGGATGCCATCTATGACCTAAGGGAGATCCAGAGGCCCCGATGTGAATGGAGTCGCCCTACAGGATAACCCCAACACCTCTCTCTGTATGGTGGCTGCTGGAGGCTCAGGGTTGCTAAGGACCCAACCCCAGCATTAGACTTGCTTTCTAAAATGTTATTTTCACAGGTACATGTGTGTTCAAAAAGCCCATAGAAGCAAAGCACAGTACATTAAATCATCAGTACTGTTACTCAAAAATGGAATTTGAATGAACAATTCCCATCTGCCCCCTCACATAAGTCACAGTGTTTTATCAGCACTGAAAATGAATAATTTCTTTTTAAAAGAATTAAATCATTGGACTGTGGATGTAGGTCAGAGATAGAGTGCTTGTCTAGCATGCTCAAGGCCTGGGGTTCAATCCCCAGCACTGAAAAAAAAAGTTGAAAATAAAAAAATTAACTAGACACTCTGAGGCAAAGGAAGATGGTGAAACCCCACTGTATGTGGAGACAACACAGTGAGGTGGGAGACATGGACTATGCAGAGGTCTGGGCAGTCAAACCTCCCTGACCCCTGAACTCTCTGGGACATGGGCACAGCACAGCCTAGCTCAAATGACTGTGAGCACAACATGGAAGATTGTACTGCAAAAGGAATTATGATGTGTTATGTACATGTACCAACTCCACACAGGAATGTAAAACATTATGTATTGAAAACATGTACTAATTTTAAAAAGAAAGCAAGACTGTATGTACTGCAGCCCTGAGCATAGAGCTTGCCACACAGTGCTGCTCACTGAAAGTCCAGACACAATCACAACAAGACCCGGGCTCCATCTCAGGTGGAACACCACCAGCACAGGCGCTACCCATGGCTCATACCAGCCTGTCCTCCCAACCCCAAGCCTTCTTGCCTCCCAGGGCAGAGCCTGCAGTGCACAAAGGTGTTCCAAAAGCTGGTGACACCCCACCCCACCCCATCCCACCCCCGCACTGGCTGAAGGAACTGCTTACTCCTGTTGCTAAAGACTACAGATGCTGACCTCCCTTTCTCATAGCAGTGAGGCAGCTTTACAATCAACTTGACACTGCACAGGAGAAGGGGCCCCGGGGTCTCTGAAGGCTGTGGCAATCACTGACCAGCCACCCTGCAGCCCTAGGTGCTTAAGCAGACTGAGAGAGTTTCTCATCACTAAAAGCTGAAACATCCTCACTGAGGTACATCTACCAGTGCAAAACTCTTCAAGGGCTTTAGAATCTGAGAACTTTTAAGGAATGATTTTCTCTAATAAATCATGACAGGCAGATAAACTCCAACACACTCAAATCATTATTCATTAAACACAGTAGATTCCAAAGGAAGTAACTGAGTTACCAGAGGATGTAGCATACCACAAAATATTTGCCAGTTCCCTCTAATGAGATACAAAACAAAGGGCAATACACAAAAATCGGTATATACCACTCTTGACTCCAATTCCAGGATATCACAATTACCAGAGGGCTCTGCTTATTCCAGAAAGTAACAAATAATTTTAACTCCAGGAGATTCCACTCCAGTCTTTTAGAAATGAGAAGCTGAGTGTGGCACTGGCCACTACTATTCTCCTGCTGAAGCCTGAGGAGGGACAACCCAGGTTGGGAAGGGCAGGGAAGGACAGCAGCAGATGTAATAGGATCCTGCTCCAGACTCACCATCCCATAAGAGACCCTGCCAAGTGCACAGAGCAGAGTCCAGGAGGCTCAAGGTGGCCCAAGGGTGGGGAAGAACCAGGCTTTTTGCTACTGCCCCCTCCCAGCAGCTCCAGGTAAAGTCTGACTCCAAGTTTTGGTTTTCTGCTGTGTGTGATTAACCAAATCTCTGGCTTCCAGCCTGAATTACTAATTTGTACTTGAAGCCAAGAACTAGTCTGAAACGAAACTTAGAGCCACCGCGACTCAACCACCTGTGTAACAGGCTGGGCACCGCACAGCGAAGAGGCCACTAGGCGGGTGGGCAGAGCCCTCGCGGGATGGGGGACTGGAAAGAGGAAATCGCAGCAGGTCTCTGCCCTGAGAACGGCGTCCCGACTGGGTTCGGGTTCGGGTTAGGGACCGGGTGGGGGCCGCTCCGTGTTGGGGAGCGGCGGCGATCACAGAGAGAACCTGCAGCATGCGGATGCTAGGCCTGTGGGGACACGGGCACAGGGAGGACGGGAAACACGGAGATGGGAGGGGATGGCGGGGCGAGGAAGACGGAGGTGGGGTGGGGACGGAGAGCGGGAACAGGGACAGGTACGGGGGGGGGGGCAAGGGGCGGGGTCGCGGCCCGGACCTGGGTCCAGCTGGGTTCGGCAGCCGCCTGGCTAGTCTTCCTCCTCTCCTGCCCCCCCGGCTGCGAGAGGACGGACTCCGGCCCGGCGCCCCTGCCTCCTGTGCCCCGCTCCGCCCGGTCGGCTGCAGCCAGCTCACCTGGTAGGAGCCCGCCGGCGCTCTTTGTGTCTGGCACCGAGGCACGTTTCTCCCGCCTACCGCACCGCCGAAGTAGTCCCAGTCAGTCTTCCAGGGGTGGGGCGGGGCGAGGAGGCGCGGGGCGGGGCCCAGGACCCAGGTCGGGGTGCGGCCGGGTTAGGGGCGCGGAAGGAGGTGGGTCAGGGGCGGGGCGGGCCGGGGCAGGGCCGGGCCAGAGCGGATGGGGCGGGGGCTGATCAGGGCGGGGCTGGAGGGGCCAGGCGTGGTTGAGGACCAGGGGGCGGGGTGGGATGGGGCGGAGACGATCCCCCAGCCAATGAACATCCACGTCGGTCAGGCGGAGCGTCTGTTGGGTTAGCTGTGTACCTGAGGTTTTCTGTGCAGCTTGCTGTTTACGGGTCTTGGGCTAGCGTTTTCGTCAAAGAGCCCGAGAGCTAGGCAGCCAAGGGGAAGACCCCAACCTTCAAAGAAGAGCTGGGAGGCACAAAACTGAGCTGCTTGTCTTTCCATCATCTAGTCAATAAGTGTACTTTTATTGAGCATCTACGAGTGACAGACGTTGTCCTGGGGCGTAGAACACAGCAGTGACAATAGACGGTAGAAGATCCTTGATGCTCCTGAAAGATACAGACCAGAAGACAATTTAAAACCCTCAAATAGAGGTATTTGTAACTGTGAATGTGAAGGAGAGCAGGCCCGGGCGTTGTGGGCTCAGGAGCGCAGGGGGTTGGCCCGGGGGCAGGGAAGGCGGGAGTTGTGCTGGGAAGGGAAGGGGCGGTGTGAGGCCCGACAGGGAGAGAGGAACCAGGGACCCTCTGTCTTGGAGAGCGCTGCGCAGTCTCTTTTAAGACAAGGTCTTACTATGTTACCAGATTGGGCTCAAACACCTGAAAGCGATCGTCCTGCCTCATCCTCTTGAGTAGCTGACCCTACAAGTATGTGCCACTGTACATGGCTACATGTCATTATAAGTGACATTAATCTTAATCGCTTGGTTCAGGTGTTGACTACTAGTTTTCTACACTGCACAGTTTCAGTTTTTCTCTTTCCATGCTCTGTTCTTGGAAAGCAAGTTAGTAAATCTAGCCCACACTCAAGAAGGATTAGATTAAATTCCACCTCCTGGAGGGGTAAATATTTATATATATTATTTAGAATTCTCTGTAAGGAAGATCTACATCTTACCCTCCGTTCATGTATTTGTTCAATTATTTATTCATACAAGCATAGAGCCCTGTATATTTATCTTATACTCTTGATTGTAACCTAAGGCTGTTATTTATTTCATTGCTCAGATTGTTCCAGCTTTAGCCACTGGGGACTCATCCAGATTGGTCCCCTTGGGATAGCCTCATCTTTTGATTAGTCTTTGACACCATACCATATTCCAGGGTCCTCTTATATTTTCCTTGTCCCAGTCTTCATATCAAGCCATATCTCCCAGGGACCCTGATTCCTTTCACTGGATAATCATATTTAGAAGCTAAGATCTGAGTGGGACTGTGTTGTTATTGGGGGTCACTACTTCCAGGCCTTTTCAGTGGAAAGGCTCAAGAAATAAGCCTATAAAATACTCATGTATACAGACATGTCTATTGATATCTATCTAGTCTGTATATCTGTCTATTGTCTGCGTACCAACCTCCCTATATGCCTATTAAACCAAACACGAGTTCACACTGATGCTCCAGTCTAAGTCCAACACTGTAGGCTTCATTCTAGCTGTCTCCTCTTCTTTGAATGTTTTCCTTGGATAGTGAGAAATCTGGCTCCCACTTCTCTCATTTATTTACTTATCTATTTGACCCTCATATAGATGAAAAGTGCTTTCAAAATTGCTTAAAACCTAGAGTGCACTGTTTATGTGCATTTGTTCAGCTTCACAATTCCCAGCCACAATGCAAACTTCCCAAGTGACTTAGCTCCTCCCCACCATCTTCAGTGAGATTTTTTCATACCTTTCTAGTACAGTAATAAATTTATTATTTGTCACCCTCTGTTTTCCATATTAGGGCCTTACTGTCCTGGTTGGTTACTTTTTAATTTGCATACAGTAAAGTTCATGCTGTACAGAAATGACAAGTGTAGAGCATTGCCGTATATCCTAGGGCATGCCAGTAACCTACATAACTCTTCCTGCACCACAAAAGCTCCTGTGTGTCCCCTTTGCCGGTATCCGTTCTCTTCTCTCAGTCCCTGGCAAATTCTGATCTGTTTTCTGTCCCTATCATTTTGTCTTTCCTAAGATGTTATATGGAAAGAACTCTATACTATGTAGATTTTGGGATTTGACATCCTTCACTTAGCAAAATGTGTCTAAGATTCATTCGTGTTTTCTTTTTCTTTTTTTTTTTTTGGAACTGAGGAATCGAACTCGGGTCCTTGCGAGGCAGGCAGGAGAACCACTGAACTAAATCCCTGGCCCCTTATTTGTGTTTTCATATGAATCAGTAGCTCATTCCTTTTGGCAATTGTGGAGCTACTATAAATGTTTCCATACATTATTTGTGTTTGTTTGAACCTAAGTTTTCTACTAATTTTAATAAATACCTGTGAATGGAGTCACTGGGTTGTAGGGTAAGTGTTTAACTATAGAAGACAATGCCAAACTGTCTTCCATAGAAGCCGCATGATCTTGCATTCCCTACCACCCTATGTTAAAGGCTCTTGAGAGGCCCAGGACCCTAGTTCAGTGTTGGTTCCTGAAGAGATTTATATTAACCCTGGTAGGGTAAAGGACCAGGTCCCATGGGTCATGAAACAGAACATCCAAAGGTGGTCCAGGACCCTAGGGCTATTATCAATAGCCTGGAACTCCTGGAACCCTGAGTCACATGCACATGTGAGGTTTAATTACAGAGGGGATCTACTGGGGCAGGGGTGTCCCATGATTCATTTGAGCCTGTGAGCTGCATAAGAGCAGGGCTGGGCCCCTTTTATTCCCTGCTGTGGACTTATGCCTTGTGTACTTTTCTACACACGTGTATACATGCACATGTGTGTACTGTGTAAATGTTTGTTGACTGAATGAAAGAACAGAACCAGGCCTGCAAAGGCCTTCCAGCTCTCACCTCCTGCATTAGTCAGCTTGTGCAACATATGTAGACGGGTGGCATAAACAACTGAAATTTATCTTCTCATAGTTTTGGAAGCTAGAAGTAGAGGATCAGGGTAGGGCAAGGCTGGTTCTCTGAGGCCTGTCTCTGGGGCCTGAGACAGCTGCTCCTTCTCTGCTCACACAGTTAGTGGTGGCTAAGAACAAGCATGCCCATTCAGTGTCTTAAAGGAGATTCCCAGCCTCTCTCTAGTTATTTCTCTTTCTCACACAGGCAGGTATTAACCCAACAAAGGAACTGTCTGTTCTTCATGCTGTTTTTCTTCAGCTACCACCACACACACACACACACACACACACACACACCACATAGCTCATATTCACAACTTCACACTTACATACACCTGCTATGCACACACCCACAGCCCTCCAACATACTCTTCACTGTGTGCACACCCACAATATGCAATCCCACCAGACACCCTTAGCAGTACATACCCACGCCTCAACCCCATTTCTTACTGATGCAAACACATTGCTGTAAACTCCTATACACATATCTCATTCCTCAGTACAACCCCACCACTTACACACCTCACCAGACACAAATACCCCACTAATAAACTCCTACTATAGACACAACTTCACACACATCACACCACACAAAGCAGACTATTCATGCACACATCCTTACACAAACTCTCCCTGCACACACGATCCCCATAGTCATACAACTGTGCTATACACAGTTGCACAACACACATTTCACCCACTACACACCAGTAGACAAGTATGCTGTGGCATTCACACACATTATACACGCTGTACTCCTCACCTATACATGCACACGACCACCTCCCTACACATGCACCCACACTCCCCAAACACCCATAACCTCAGCCTTGCCACTTGCCATTCTATATACCACACCCACACACAGACCACATCCACACCGGTGCACAGACACCATACAGACCCAGCCTGTTTCCCACACACACATGTTCAATCAACTCTTCATGTATCGAACACACATGTGCTCACACCTTGCCTCAGACATGTGCCTGGGCGTTCCTTTTCTGAAATGCTGAGGTCATTTCCTTCACACTGTGGGTCTCAAGTTCACAGCCTGCTCTCAAGAGCTGCCCAACCTGTGTAAATGTCATTTCTCACCATCTCTTGCTCAAATCCCTTCTTCAGCCAGGCATCACAATCCTTCTTTGGAGATTGCTGATACCGAATTACTTAGCACTCAGTGTTTAGCGCTCTGAGTTTGTGCTGAACTAAACTCACGTTTTCTCTGGAAATGTTCTCAACCCTTTTTGGCCCGATCGAATGTTCCATTCCTTCAGCTCCCAGTTTAGGAGCCACACCTGTGCAAGCCACTCCCTTATTTGACATTCTTTTTTTTTTAGACAGGTTCTCACTATGTAGTCCAGGCTGGCCTCAAACTCGTGGTGATCCTCCTGCCTCAGCCTCCTCAGTGCTGAGATTACAGGCATGCATCACCACAGCCTGCTGTTTGACATTCTTTTAGGAAGTGTTTATCTATATTGTACCATACTCCTTGCTTATGTATTAGGATGTCAGAACTGACACTTTGGCCTAAGTCAGTAGATATTGGATACCAAAGTAAGCATGAGACTCACTGAAATTTTCAAAGTAGCTAGTATCTTTTGTTTAACTTTTGAACTTCCTTGCCTAATTCAAGAATATAATATTGTCGGGCCGGGGATTTAGCTCAGTGGCACTGCACCTGCCTCACAAGTGCATAGTCCTGAGTTCAATCTCCGGTACTGCCAAAAAAAGAATATAATATTGTTGAGAAAGTGGAGATAGAGATGGGGTGTTCATTTGCAGTTCAGGGAATGGAACCCACGGCCCCATGCATGCTAAGCAAGTGTTCTGTCACTCAGCTATACCCCGACTCCATGGGATTACTCTGGAAAGAGCACTGCAGGCTGTGATCCTGGCCCCTGGGGGAGGTAGAGGAATGGCTCCTCTGGCAACCTCGTGTGTAGGTACAATGGTAAACTGGGAGTGGAGGTTGACCTGTAGACTGCAGAGAGCATGAACATTTGACAGGGCTGGGCCAGGGGAAAAGGACAGTGAAGGAGATGGAAGGGATGTGGATGGGATGTGGGACAGAGGCTGACCTGGAGCTGTCTAAACCCTTCCCAGGAGTGCTGCCTGAGAGAGAAAGGGTACCTGCTGGTGAGGGCCACTGGTAGTAAGGTCTGGGGGGAAGTCCTCTGGAAAACAAAACAAAACAATATTTGGATGTTCTGGATGGGTCCAGAAAGGGCCTCTGAAGTGTCCACAAGGTAGGCAAATGGGGCCTGGAAGTTGTGGAGCATACTCATGGCAGGAGCAGTCTCTAGCAAAATGAGAGATTCCCTGCCCTCTCCCCTATCTTCCCCAATTTACAAGGGGGGAAAAGTATGGAAGAAAAGAGGTCATCCATCCATCCTCCATCCCCACCAGAGGCCCATCTGGGACAGGTGGGTGCTGGGCAGGCCTATACTTGCACAAACAAATGTGGCTACTCTGCTGAGCCAGTCCTCTCACACTTCTGATACAGAGTATGTGTGTGACTTAGGGTGTGCATGC